GATAATAACAATACTTTTGTGTGATAATAACAATACTTTTGTGTGATAATAACAATATTTTTGTGTGATAACAACAATAATATACTTTTGTGTGATAACAATAATACTTTTGTGTGATAACAACAATACTTTTGTGTGTAACAACGCCTTTGTGTAATAACACTTGTGCGTAAACATGACACAACATTCTCGTGCGGCTACATCACACCGGCAAAGCGGAGATGACGCCCTTCTCGGAGTCAAGCACACAGCCCTCTGACGCACATAATAATGTGTGGTGCAGCACGGCCCGTGTTATGGGCTAGCAGGATCTTCGATGAGCGTGATGTAGCAAAACGGGTGGCGCCGAAAGCCTCTTGGTCTGCACGGACGGGGGGGGGGGGGGCGAGACATGTACCCGAAACCCCCGTGATTTTGTTCGGTGATTTTGTTGTGCGGACATGAACGAAACAAGGATTTCTTTCTTAGGAACCATACATGGTATGTATCAAAGAGAGACTGCACGTTCGAGAAATAACCACAGTCGAAGGCCATGGGTTGAAGGATTTCCTGCAGGAAAGAAACGTGGTAAGGACATCTTCTCCCCCGCCCTCGCTGGTCCAGTAGTGGTCCCGGGATAATGCCGGTGCGATCCAGCCGATTGCACCGACCGGCATTATCGCGGGCAACCGATATATACCGGCAATATAACCGGACGTGTACTTGCGGCCAGCACTAGGTATGGCTTCCAGATTGCGTGGGCGCGCTCCGTAAGGAAGGACAGAAAAACCATAGGGGTAGAGTTTCGAACGTTGTTCAACAGCAACACCAAGAGGTGGCCAAGGCCAACAACGTGGAGCCAGCCCCCAAGCGCCTCCAGGAGGAAGGAAGGGCGTTTCTGGGGTACCCGTACCAAAAAAACAATGTTGTTGTCTATGTAGTCTAGCATACTCACTCCTGTTACTTCACAACATTTAGCCATTTCTGCACAGCGAGCAACGCGCTCAACACATGCCTACACAACCCCACGTTTTAGCCTACATGGGGATGGTCCGTATAAAATATCGGTAAGGGTAATGGTGAGTGAAATAATCTACAAGCACAACGACGGGCATGGGTACAAAGCCGCCCTCAAACGGCGGGAAAAACGCAAAACGCTCTTGTGGTAACCACCACCAATCTCCTATTACCCCTCGCACGTACACACCATTTGTCGCAAAGGGACCCGGCATGTCGTTACGCCAACTCTTTCGACACATCACCACCATTCATTCTTCGTGTTATGAACACCTTGCTTGCACGAAACCAACCTTTCGCCTCCATATCTCAAAATTAGCCCAGAAGACCTCAGTCTACAAGTAGAAGACTGGCACAGGAAAGTTCTAACCCTGTATGTATGAACAAATGTTTAGACGCCCCACGAACTATCAAAGTCCTGCATGAAAACAAGGTGGGTTTAGAGCTTAGACTACGATAGCCGCGAGGCAACCACTGGCACTTCGCTCACCCCACCTCTCCCTGTGTCAAAATCAATGGCGCACATGAGTTCACAGCCACGTAAAACAATAGACTGACTGCACATGCACGTTCACATCACGTCTCCCTGTATGTCTCAAAATCAGGCGTATCTGCCAGTACGCTTTCAAGTTACAGGCTCACACAACACTAATTAACTGGTGTTACACTGGATGTACAATACGTTAGATTAAAATAGGCTGTGCACTTCAAATCACAGGTACACAAAAAAGTAGACTGGCTACACACGTAAAGGGTTAAACAAAAGCACTTTTACACAAACACTATGCTGCGATACACCAAGCAGCGACACAACACCTACCATGCATCATACCTTCTCTCTCCTTTATCTCTTCCTCTCCCGCGCCTCCGTGTCCATTCCAAGACGCTAAGACTAAATTCCGGGTGGTGACACCAACCATCAAGAGGAACGAATGCCTCTTCTTCTCAAGCAAAATTTCGTCAAGCATCTTCGGTTCTGTTCCGAAGTAAAAGTAGACACAACAAGTCATAGTACCTGTTCCGAAGCAACAGTATTAATAGCAGTAGACCCAACAACTCTTAAGTACCTGAACCAACGGTCCCGCCAGAACGGTAGCTAACCGTACGTTTCAGAAAACATATGCTATACAACCGAAATTTTCCATTTGGTACCAGTATGTGAAAAAATATCACACAAAAGACCCTTCCCCGACTGGGGGCGCTATCGGGGCGTCCCGGCCTCAACCGCGCTTCGCCGCTCGGATCTCCGCCAGAAGCCCGCCGATTCCTGCCGCCGCTTCGCAACCACCGCTCTGGGTGCCGCCGCCGCCACCACCGCCGCCGCTGCCACCCCGCTCTCCGCGGGTCCGGATCTCCGCCAGAAGATCGCCGATGCCTGCCGCCGCTTGGCCACCGCCGCTCTGCCGGTCGCCGCCGCCGCCGCGGGCCCGGATCTGCGACAGCATTCCCAGCATCGGCGGGGGCGGCGGCGGCGGCGGGTTCGGGCAGCCGGTCAAGCGAGAGCCGCCACTGCTCCTGGCGGCGGTCGCGGACCGGAGGGCGCGGAAGTGCTTAGACTTCGGCTCCCACGACGCAGCGGCGGCGACGGCCGCAGCGTTGGAGTCCCGCTGCTGCGGCCGGGGCGGGGTGCCCGCCTTCCTGGTCCGACCGGGAGCGGTAGCCGGGGCCCGCCCGAGCACGGTCTTGCTCAGGGTCTTCTCCAGCACCGCGCCGAAGGCCTTGATGCGGTCCTTGGCGTGCCCTCCACCGACGGCCGAAGTCTTCCCTCCGGCCGTTTCGTCTTCCCCCTCGGCGTCATCACCACCGCCACCGTTGGTGCTGCTCTTGCCGCCGTTGGCCCCTGCCATTCCGCGGGCCCCCCGGGAGGAGCAGGAGAAGACCCTCCCCAGCTCTTCCTTCCGGATTTCGGCCTCCTCGTCCGCGGTGACGAACCGGAGGGACTTGCTCTTGTCGCTCAGCCTCGACCGGAGCTCGGGGTTAGGGTCGAACGCTCCCTCGACCTCCGACCCCTCTTCCACCTCGAACTCCTCCTCGTCCTCCTCCACCTCCTCTACCTGCCCGTCCGCAGTGGGTGTTTCCGCCGCCGCCGCCGCCGCCTCCGCAGTGGATGCCGCCGTCTCCGCCTCCGCGGCCGCCGGGCCACGTGCCGGGACGGAAGCAGTGGCGGTGGCTGTCGTCTCCGTCTGCTGCTGCTGCTGCTGCTGCTGCAAGCGGAGGAGCTTCCTTGCGGACAGCAACCGGCGGGTAGCCGCGGCCCCCGCCAGGGTGCCGTCCACCGTGGACGGGCTCTCCCGCAGCGCGCGGGCCGCCGACTCCACGTGACCCTCGAGGCGTTTCGCCTCTTTCGACAGCCTGTGTGAGGGTTTTATTTGACGGGGGGGGGTAGCGATTATAAATCTTGACTTGCATGTAGGCATGGAGTCGAGTTACCGGTATTCCCAATCCTCACAAAATATGTTCTATGGTACAGTAAAAGCGCATCTACCATACATACATACCGACCGGTATTTCCAATTCTCACAAAATACGTTCTACTCCAGAAAAACCACAAACACACATGCATACCTGGTGACCTCCGACTTGGCCTCTTCTCTGGCCCTCCGGAGATCCTCTGGCTTGCACGTGGCCCTGTTGAACGGGTGGCGAGAGTCCTCGAGGACGTACTCGTACTCTCGTCTCGCCTCGGGGAGAAGCTCGTCCCTCACCTGATAGTGGCGACGACAGCGCGGCCGTGAGGAGATGGATGGATGGTGAGAATCAAGGTGACGAAAGAATTGATGATTCTTCATGCTGTTGCCTCTTGTTAGAAATCAACTCCGCATGCTTCGCGACATTTTTCATTTTCTTCAGCAGGTTTCAACGATGTTAATTCAAGAAACACGCACATAACGCGCGCACACATAGCATATGGAGTACCAGACAATGGCCTTCATGCCCATTTTCTGATTTCGATCGCACTGAGACTGACGTCTACGTTCATTGGTCAGCCGGTTAGCGCGGCCGATGCAACTAATGACAACGCGGGAAGCCGAACTCACCTTGGCCACGTCGACCTGCTTGACCTCCAGCCTGCGCTGCCGCTCTCGGAGCTTGTCCACCCTGGCCTGCACCTCCGCCGCCGTCGGATAGAAGTACTCCTCCCTCCTGGCCTGCCCTGCGCTCAGCTCGGGGAGGCGCACTTGCCGCCTGGCCGAGATCTCGGGGTCCCAGCCCCCGCTGACCGTGTCTCCTCTCTCCTGGAAACCCCAAAGCACGATAGACACGAGCGAGAACAAAATACGCAATGAGGGATGTTTGTGTATGTGCAAACGCGTTGATAATATGCTACCTGGCCTGTGTAGCAATGAGTTGCTGTGGGCCAACATGTTGCTTCGGTGGGATAGCGTGGAGCACAGAGTGTGGCTGTCGAACTTGGCTGGAGTATGCTACAACAAACAATCGTGGGCAGCCATCAATTGTGTGGTGTGTACACATTATTTTTACTTCACGGTCGACTAAATAGAGAAAGAAACGCATAGATAAATCCTGCTCGAGATAGAAAGGAAGGCAGTCACAGCAGGCAGCCGGAAGGTGGAGGGCGGGCGGGGACTCCGGTCTGTTTGGACTTTCTTACTTTGTGATACAGCTAGTAGCAGTGCGTCCAAACAAAATAGATAACATTGATGGCGTGAGAGTCGGCGTCCAGACCAAATGGGATGCCAAGACAACGCTGATTTTACCCTAAATACTGCCGAACATATATAGCTGTTACAGTAAATTATTACCATACCGTGCTCTCTCTCTCTCTCCCTTTCCCTTCTATGTGGCTCCTGTCTGTTTCACCTGTGCGACCAGCCCCTTAGCCCGTTGCACGAACTCGGCCCTCCAGGCGGCTTTGCGACCGTCATCGTCCACCTCGAACTTGTCCGGGAGGCATGCCAGGATCGCTCTCATCTCCACCAGGTCGTACTACAAAAACAGAAATCACGACAGAGAGACAAAAAGAAGCACAACGAACAGTCAAGAAAACTTTCGATATCTTCTTCACGAGTGGTGGGGTTCGACTAAGGCATTATTGGGTGTGTCATCCCGTCTATTTTGGGCGTCCGTATTTTCGCCTTCCGATACAATTCTGGAAACAAACACGATGAATAGATAAGAAGCGAAACAACAGTCAAGCTACCTCTCGATTTCTTCCCGGGTGTGGTGGGGTTAAGTCTATTACTGAGGTGTGTCATCCCATTTATTTTGGACGTCGGTATTTTCACCTTTCGATGCAATTCTTGAGAAGGGGGTCAATCAAGTCACACAGGAGCAAGGCATCCCACACACAAGTTTTTCTCTATATAGTTTTGTAAAAGAAGACCGCTTTGTATCACATACATACACGTCTCGCACAGCATCCACGACGGCACTGGCTGTAGGTATTGACTGTCTAGCTCATCGGTTTTTGGTGCGCCGGTGCCACTTCGCACACCATTTTTGAGCATGTTGAACTCTTCGGGTAGATCCGGAAAGGATCTAAAGGAACGATACAGACAGCTGTTCCCAGAGCACCCAACAAACACACAGCATTGGCAGTCACATTTACGCATTCATACTCTTTTTAACATCGCGTAGGATGTTTTTTCTGAAAAGAAAGAGGATGGTCTACCACCCACTCACTACCTCTGCGCCTGGGGAAATCGGTTCAGACGGTTTGACCTTACGAAGAAGACAAGTGTTACACGAAGTGTGAGGATCGAAGTGTGAGGATCGTGTTCGTTTCCGCTTGTCTTCCTCGCCAGGCACCGTGCTTTGTTGTGCGAGTCAAGATATCAAGATACGATATCATGACCCACCTCCTTCACCGGTGGTATATTGAAATATTTTGTTAGAAAATCTACATACAAACACAGAGAGACTACCCATTCGAGATAAAACCACAGCAGACGAAGGGGATGGGTTCAAGTCTTTTCAGATATTGGGAAAAAAAAATGGCTTGATTATTTTGAGTCTGTGCAAGCCTACATATACACTCAATTGATCCATACCTTGTCAAGATTGGTGAAGAAATGGGCGTGGGAGCCCTGGAGGAAATTGCTCCTGGCGATGTCGTCCGGGTGCGTTACCGTCCACTGGAGGAGCCGGTTCTCCTGGGGGGGCGACGGTGACGGGACGAAAGACCAGCGAGCGGCAAGGAAACCGGTACGGCAAGGGCGGGGATGTTCAAAGACTGGGTGAGAAATAATGCACAAAGGGAAGCGAAGGTGTAACCAAGCAGGGCAACAAAGCCTCACTGACCCCCTGCTGCCCTAGCACGCGACAGCAGAAGGTAAGGACACTGAGGTGCCGTATCACAACAAGGTAGGACTAAAGAAATGCTAAAAGAGGACACACGCGAACAGCCACGATCACCACACCCCTTCTTTCTCAACTCTCTACCTTCCCATGTTTTCTCTCTACCTTCCCATGTTTTAGAAACGAACGGCAGCAGGCATCCCTCCATCCCCGCAGGCCTCCATTCCCCACTCCGAGATACCAACTCAATGATTTATCCGCCGATCAGGAGCCCCTTCCCCCCGATCATCACACCCTTGCACATTCACATCCCTTCGCTGGTGTATTTCAGTGTATGGACTTAAACAGACTCGAAATAGGACCAGTTTTCTTCCATTCGCCGTAAAGACTTCAACCCATCACTCCCTTCGACTACTGCCTGTCGTTAAATCTCGACCGGACAATAATTCTTTGATTGCACGCATATTTTCGAGTGTGGTTTATGCCTACGCCCAACGGCATCAGCGAGCGCATGCACCGCAGTCTTAGCGACAAGTCCTTCGGGTACGGCGAGCCCGCGTCGATGGCTCGCTCTAGCTGGGACAGCGTGAGGTCGGTCATGGCCACCGGCATCAACGAGCGCATGCTGCGGTGTATGCGCTCGCAGATGCCGGTGGGCGTGACCGGGCTCACGCTGTCCCAGCAAGAGCAGCAAGCCATCGACGCGGGCTCCCTGTACCCGAGGGAGTTGTCCCTGAGACTACGGTCCATACGCTTGCTGATGCCGGTGGGCGTAGGCATTGGTAGACTCGAAATAGGACCAGTTTTCTTCCATTCGCCGTGAAGACTTCAACCCATCATCCTCTTCGACTACTGCCTGTCGTTAAATCTCGACCGGACAACAATTCTTTGATTGCACGCATATTTTCGAGTGTGGTTTATGCCTACGCCCACCGGCATCAGCGAGCACATGCACCGCAGTCTTAGCGACAAGTCCTTCGGGTACAGCGAGCCCGCGTCGATGGCTCGCTCTAGCTGGGACAGCGTGAGGGCGGTCATGACCACCGGCATCAACGAGAGCATGCTGCGGTGTATGCGCTCGCTGATGCCGGTGGGCGTGACCGGGCTCACGCTGTCCGAGTTGGAGCAGCGAGCCATCGACGCAGGCTCTCTGTACCCGAGGGAGTCGTCCCTGAGACTGCGTTGCATACGCTCGCTGATGCCGGTGGGCGTAGGCATTGGTAGACTCGAAATAGGACCAGTTTTCTTCCATTCGCCGTAAAGACTTCAACCCATCATCCTCTTCGACTACTGGTACTGCCTGTCGTTAAATCTCGACCGGATAATACTTCTTTGATTGCACGCATATTTTCTCCCACCCTTGGTGTACCTAATCACTCCAGTTACAGTACCTTCAGTCTCAGCGACAACTCCCTCGGGTACAACGAGCCGGCGTCGATGGCTTGCTGCTCCAACTCGGACAGCGTGAGCCCGGTCACGCCCACCGGCATCAGCGAGCGCATGCGCCGCAGCGCCTGCGCGTTGGTCGCGGCCTCGCGGTCGAACCATGCCCTCTCCTCGCCCGCCACGTGCTGGTTTTTTTGCATATTGTCATTGCGAGAGGGTCCATGCAAGAAAGGGAAGAAGATGGAGAGCGGGGTGTGTGCGTGTGCGTGTGCTCATGACCAGCCGTGCATGCTCAAGTCTTGCCTGTATTTTATCGTATTTTACTCGAGGAAAACGCGACACCTTCACAATGGTAAACCTGCCACGCCTGCTTACCTTGACGTGTTCGGGCAGCGCCTCTTTTCGCTCCCGCCACAGCTCCATCTTTTCAAGGGCTGCCTGGCAGTCCCTCCTGCGCAACAACGCGCCAACCACAACGGCAAGCACCGGGCGGGGGGGGGGCACGTGAATGAAAGCGCCACGTGGTTGGATGAAGACGGCGAACGAGTACACTTATGGCCTACAACGCCAACACAATCACAGAAAATACAAACAAAATGGTGCCTCTACATTGTTGTGGCAGGATAAGGTCCAGAGCTACAGGCAGAAGAAAAGAGCTTCCAACTTATCCCCTCCGTTGGTAGGGGGGTGCACGTTTTGGGTGAAAACGTACACGTTTGGGGTGCAATCTTGCGCTTTTGGGAGAAAACGTGCATAGGATTCTTTGTGTCGGTGATCGTACGGTTAAACAGGACGAAGCCAACAGGTATATCACGTAAAATGAGTCTTTCCCGAACGAAACGTAAGATGATGAGGTGACCCCAAACCGGGTTTCCCACAGGACCGCCTACGCAGGATTTTAAGAGTATCTACTTGTATAAACATAAATGGGAGGGGGCACGCAGACCCTATCCCTAACCCTAACCCTAACCCTAACCCCAAAGCACGGATTGAATACTTTATCCCATATGTTTGCTTAATCAAGTTTGCTGCGTAGACTACTGCCCCGCATGCACCCTTGCCCGCTTCCATGATCAATCACAGTAGATGTACGGCATTTCACCTCGTCTTGCTAAGCGTCTCAGCCATTGTCTTGACGTCAGCCTCCATGCTTCGGAGGCCGCTCGCAGCCTGGGTGGGTGCGACCAGCTCTCTCGCCGACCCTACACTCCCCGTGATGCCTAGCGTATGTATCCAAAGTGACCGGAAAGGCGGGGAGAGAGGGGCATGCTCACAGCGATTAGAAGTTGTTCCGCTTGCTGTCTGTTTTGTGTTTCGCGCATGGTTGCCCTGGTCGTGCTTGCGTGGACGGCGGCACGTACAATAAATTTTGCGTGTGCAGGAGACATCCAAAGCGAGAAAAAATCGCAAAATACATATTGCGGCACACTTGCCTGTGAAACAAAAAAAGTGGAAAGTGCGTTACAATGTTTGTACCGCGACAGGAATATTCCTGAACGTAGTTCATGCTCACGTCATAGCGGTTGTTTGTCAATCAACTCTCGCTCACATTCTCACCTTTACCGCTGGGTTCAAGGTAGACAAACATTTTAAATTAAATTGGCGCATGCAAACCCTTGCATGCAGGCAACGCCTGTCTGTGAAAGCGGTTTTGAGGGATCCGTCAGAAGGCTCGAGTCCAGGCGTAACAGCGCCTCCATCGATACAACGGACGACAGTACAATTTACTACAACCATTGAACAGCAGCAGCCTACCGATGGCTGTCTCCAGCCCGCTCTTGCACTCCCCGAAGACCTTCCTCGTCCCGCCCGCAACCTCCTCCTTCAGGCCGTGCCCCACAAGGAGGACCTTCCTCTGTGCATCCGAGATGCCCTCCAACACTCGGCGAAGCTCGGCCTCGGCATCGACCCTGGCCTGCCCGAGGCGGTCTCTTTGCAGCGAGGCCATCACTGCCGCTGACGCCGCCGCCGCTGACTCTGCCTCCTCCGTGGTGGCCTCGTCCCCGTCGACCTTGTCCTCAGCATTGACGGTCGTGAGAGACGCCTCCTGCTTGTACGGGTAGACAGCGGGGGTGCAACAGCAGCAGGAGCGAACGTTTCATGTTATTGGATGGTAAGCACTCATTAGAGTAATAGGTCACTTACCGGGTGGGGGTGGTGGCTTTGGTTTCCAAGGGGTGTATGTGGGTGCAGAGGAGCGGTGTACAGGGATACGGCATGTCTGGAAGATGAACACAGACGTTCAATGGTAGAAAACGACGGGATGAATCGGACGTGTGTATTGTAGGTTGACGTGAGGGACCGCGTAGCGATTCGACCTTGACTCCACGAAAGCCGTATGTGCATGCGCGTGTCTTGGTGTTACTCCAATGTGCCTGCTTCCTTCATTTGCGATTTCTGTTGTTTGGTTCAGAGGAAAACATGAAGTGGGTAGGTAGCGCCAACCAGGGGGAAACATAGAGTCCACGTGAGGTACCGCAACGACAAAAACAACAGAGTTCTCAAGGGCAGTGAAAGTAAAAGAGCACAACAAAGTGGTGACCCACATCATGGGATTGGAAAGGGAGAAAGAACGACTGCTGTGAAGGTAACGCCGTAGTACTGGATGCGGACAAACTAAACGAGGTATTGTAGTAGGACAAGGGTCTCACAACAGTACCGCTTTCTGTCACATGTTCCGAAAGCTCACGACACAACATGACGAAATGGAGAGTGGAGAAAGCATGAGAACAGTCAGAGAGAAGATGTGGGTAATGGCGAAACATACTGCCACAGCCTTGGCGAAAAGGAGAAGGCGAGACTATGCGTATCACACCACCGACCTCTTCCGCAAGCTGCTCGTGAAGCTTGGTCAGGCGTTCGAGGTCTCCTCCCATCTTGGCGAGGGTCTTGAGGGACACCTCCAGCCGGCGGTCCTTGAGGATCTCCATGCCCGCCTGTCGAACGTTCGCGTTGGCGTCGAAAGAAAAACCACAAGGTGAAAAAGAAAGACAATAATGGAGCTAGGTGCATGTAGAGGTCGGGTACAAGCGATGTTCCATAAAGCAAAATTAGAAACCAAATCGAGCTATTATAGGTCAAGGACACACAAAAAAAACAGGGTAGAGCTCAATTTCGATCGCCTGACTCTTTGCCAGGCCTACCTGCAGCATGGACTCTTGGAACAGGAGGCGGTGGTAGTCGGTCTCCGCACAATCCCTCCGGGTCTCGCTCTTCTGGATCCCGTCCCCCTGTTTAGCCGAGCAGAGCCACTCCAGCTCCTCATCGCCCTTCAGTTCACACGATATCGGCCGCCCAGACGAAAAGCATCCAGGGGAAACACATGCGAGCAGAAAATAATTAGTTTACAGCCCCCAAGAAAAGGCGAGCTAACACGAAAATACGAGACAGTAGGCGGTAAAGCACCCAGGGTAGTAAAGGATGGCACCTGTGCAGGGAAGGGAAACATACTGGAAGCAAGGAACCCTTACAATAGCCCTATCCCCAAGTCGTCTAGACGATAAATCGACGGCGCACTGGATGGAGAGGTCGACGACAGAAATGCTCACAAAGTCGGCCGGAGCAAGACGACTCGGGGCTGCTGTGTCGCGAGCTGTGGGCATCACTGCAGGAAGGCAATCGCCACAAGGTTGCTACGCACGTCTGTAACTGCCACCGGTAGGGCCATTGCTCTTACCACTACAGCCGATGCAAAAAAAAAAGTATTAAAAAAACAGAACAAGTTCACCTTTCCTGTGATCTTTTTCAAGATCTCCAGTCGGACGATGGTCTTCTCCCAGGTGCCGAGGGATGGCCGGCCGCCCCCGTCGCCACCGCCATTCTTGTCGGCCTTCTGCCGTGCCCGGTGACCTGCCGCGTCCTTCGTGCGGTCGGGATTGCTGGCCCCTGCTGTCGTCGATGCCCTGAGTTGACGCTCCCAGGCCATGTGGCGGGAAGCGGAGACCCTGTTTCAGAAAATGGTGACGTCATATTGGGACAGCAAGCAAAGTGCACCACAATGTTTGAAAGTTTTGTCTTTCGAATCATGTCCCAAGGTCTCGGAGAGGCGCAACAGGATGAAGAACAAAAGCGTGTGTGGTACTGATTTTGTGCGGCCATGTACCCGTATCAGAAGCAGTTGTTGGCCGCGCACGTGTCGCACACAAGTATACAGGCTGAAGGGGACGGACGATACGGCGAGAAACAAAAAAGAAGGTGCGTGCTTTGGTGGATGCAACACACCCAAGTGTACCGTAGTTATCGAACGTGGGCCACCCCTCGGTGTGGACTCAAACGTGCAGCGGCAACAACGCCCGCAGGAGTACAACCATCAACCATCAAGCACTCACCTGGGTGTCTCGCGCCTCCTGCTGGGGCTTCTCCCACTGCCCCCGTCGCCTCCTTCGACCACCCTCTTCGACGTAGTAGTACCCTTAGGCCTCGATGACTTCGACTTGACAATTGCCGTCGTCTTCGAAGGTGCTTCCGCTGCCGCTTTCGCCCTAGGGTACACCTTTGCCGCGGGCGTCCGTCGCTCCGCGGCTTGCCGGCGGGACTCGGTGGGCTTCATCGCCCATGCGGACTGCCTGGTCTGCTTCGAGGTTGCGGCGGCGAGCTGTCTGCAAGCGATCGCAGTGAGAACGGACCGTTTCTTGCGGGAGGCGGTGAGATTTTTCTGGGGCATCGTGGATCTGACGGTCGAGCTCGTCATCCCTGCTGGAGGAAAACAAAAAAAGGGGGAGGCGCCAGGAGGCAGATTTGAGGGTGCGTTAGAATTGCTCTTGTGAACGTAAAGCATGGAGTAGTGGTTTTTTCAGTGAGGGTGCGATAGGATTGCGATTGTGAACGTAGAACAAAGGTAGCGGTTGGTTGTGGTCGTAGTTGTCCGAATGACGGAGAGAGGATTGTTTCATGTTTCGCGCGCAGTGATGTTTTTGTGAAGACAACAACGATAACAATAGGCATGACATGTCTGCCGTGTTCTTGTCTGTGCCCTATGGTTTTCCCTGCTGTAGATCGAACATCTCCCGATCAGAAAACCATTGTTGTGGACATGGACATGGTGGTGGATAGCCTGGTGTCAGGGCAGGCGCTACCTCCTTCGCTACCACTCTCACCACTACAGCTTCTCTCACCGATGCTGCTGCTGCTGCTGCTGCTGCTGCTGCTGCTGCTGCTGCTGCTGCTGCCGCTGCTGCTGCCGCCCTCATCGCTGCTGCTGCCGCTGCTGCTGCTGCTGCTGCTGCTGTTGGCGCTGGTGGTGGTGGTGGTGCCCTGGTCCATCTCCGCCGAAGAAGAGGCTCGCGAGGACAGCGGTGACGGGATGTCCGTCTCATCGCCAGACTGCACGATCTTCTTGTCGTTGCTGTTGCCGCCACTGCCGTCCTTGTCTCCGGGTGTCCTGGTGCCCGCTCTCCCCAAGTTACGGTCCTGTTGGTGTGTTGTTGTTTTCAGGAGGGGAGTAGGCGGGACCAAGGAGTTGAAGATAAGTGGCGATATAAGCTACACAACGTTTTACGTAGCGGGAGGACCATATTGAATCCCATCTGTGTAATGTCTTGTTCGTGGTGCCAGAGGAGGCATGAGGATTTGCTCAACCCTTGTCGCGAAAAAAAATGGAGTAATGCGATACAGGCTTTTGTGCGGGTTGGGTGTGATAACCTTTCTTAAGAAAACACGAACGCTCAAGGGGTGTCGAACGGGGTTTACGGCAGCAGTAGATTTTCGATGCGACTTCTCCTGACATCGCATCGATCGCACAAATAATTAAATATCAATTCAATGCCAAAATTATGGAATATGTACATGCACGCAACTTTGAACTATTGTATTGGATTCTTCGATCTACACTAGGCCTTTCGCGAAGAGTCCACCGATCACCCGTGAAAAAGGAGATGCAGATGCTTCGGTTGGAGGGCTGGAACAAAAATACGAGGGGTACATACATACGAGAACGCACGCCCTAGAGCGATCGAGAGGCAGTGACATTAGTAGAAACGGACTAGAGAGTAATGGCACATGTAGACTATTTACGTACTCTTAGTCTCTCTTGCTCCTGTTTCGGTTCTTTTTTATATTTGAGATTAGCCGAGACAATAATTAACAAAGGATGGCAACCCGACTGTTAAGATGTACAGCATATCCACTATGCTACAAGTCAGCTCGATCGGCCTAAACCCTCTTTCACCGTGCCGCCACGGTGCTTGATCTTGCTCCCGACCCGCGCAGTTCGGTCGGGATTAAGGTCGGGTGACACCCTCAGCGATGTCCTTGATGGCCGCCGCTGTGTTGTGATTCCCGGCGCCGGTCTGTCGCTCGTGTTTGCGATCGCATGTCTCACCACGTACAGACAAGACACGAACAACAGACCGCGGCGCCAGGGATAACGCCGCAGGGGCGGCCAGCACGGCTACGGCCGACGATGTCAGTCGACGGCAATGCCGTCAATCGAATCGCAGAGGTCTACAGTAGGGCAAGGTCAACCACCCGTGGCAACGTGAGGGTGTAGGCCAGATCGATGTCGGGATGTCGGGGGCGAGCCCCATGTCTCCCATATAGATCTTCAACAACACATCGGTTCCACTTTTCAGATTCAAAGATACCATAAAAGAAACCCGTCTACGTACTTCGTGAGCTTTCGCAGCAGGTAGTCGACCGATCAGCCGTGAAAAAGGAGGTGCAGGTGATTAGCTTGGATGCCTGGAACAACAGTGGTGTGCGGGGATACATATCTACAAGGAAGCACGCCCTACAGTGATCGAGCGGCGATTATTGTAGCATTTTTGGTCTTTCTAGATCGGGCGAAGCATCAATAATTAGCGCGAGCTACCCGCACATGATACCCATGCATGGCAACACCTGACACCGATCAGCAGCACGTCTTCACCCGGACCTGCCTAGACAGCACCGGTACACGGTTGACTCACCATGCCGACACTGCGGTGCTTGATCTTGTCCTCTCCGACCCGTGCGGTTCGATTAGCAGCATGGGGGTCTGGTGTCGTTCTCGGGGACAAGCCTAGCCGTCGCTGCATGCTGATGCTGATCCCCGGCGGCGAAGCTGGTCTGGGGATTGGCCTTCTTGTGAGGGCGATTACCCGACATGGCTTGACGCGATCCCGCGTCGACAGGTACATGGTGGACGCGTCCTGCTTTACCGAAAGCGTAGCTTTGCTGCGCTTTCAAGGTACAAAGTAGATCTTCTGCTGTTGCAGCTGGTTGTGTGTTGGGGGGGGGAGGGGGGCGGGTGGGCGGAGGAGGAGAACGGAGAAAGAAGAACCGAAACGTGGGACTGTTCTGATTGGATGGCTGATCGCAGTCCCGCCGCGCGCGGTAAAAAATGGAAATCGGCTTTCTTCATGTCGAGAAACTTGAATTTTCAGGTGCAAACTTGACTGTCTCTCGTCAGCAGAGAGCACAAGTGGGAGGCCTTCGAGTCGGTCCGCGAGATTCAGTCCGGTTCAGCGACAGAAGAAGAGCGAAACTCTCCTACATATTCTCGTGTGTATGTACAAGGCCTCCCTCCGGGGAGAGGGCTCCGCGGCAAAGGGGTGATGCAAGACAATGCAAGAACAGATGCTGTACCTGCATAGTCTATGTGATATTGATATCTAGGCTTCTTCCAAGGGCGTTTGCGCGTTTGCGCCATTTTTGGGAGCTTTTCCTTCGACATAAAGATTACAGATCCTTCTGTAGGAATTTGACTGCTGCAAGATGAACAACAACCCTGAAACAATTTGTTGTTTGTTGCGCCCACATGCCCACATACATTCAGATCTGTTGAGGGCATCCGACCCCCGCGCCTAGAGCTCACCCATCTCGGCGCCTCTAGACCAAAGACTCGCTACACCCAGAGTGCTAACTACCACACCAGTGTCCTCATGATCTTACATAAAACCGGCCAGCCGTGGTGTCATTATCGCTGTTGCTTCGTGCTTATAGATAGATAGGTGAATCAAAGAAAGCAAGTGTTGTCTCTATTTGTATGGAGGATTTTTCTTGATTGAAACCTCGCATACCTGCCGCAATACCAACAACGTCGGTCCCAACCTGAGGCTCGGCGGTCTGCATGATGGTCTGCATTACTCTGCACCTTTGCTGACACCGCCACGACATGGCTCGACTGCTCTGGAAACTATATGTTTCTGCTTCCTGTTGCAGCTGCTGCAGCTGTCCACACACATTGCTGACGTATGAACTTGCTTCTTGACATGGTGTTTGACACTGACGTAATACAGTATGTATGTGTGCACACGTACATGTACGTACTACATAGTCTTACCCCCCAAAGAATTTTCTTGAGATTCTGGGAAAGGGGTCACAAATAAATATAGTCTATACCGTCAACACGCAAGAGCAGAGGAGAGGCGCGCGTCGGTAGTTGTCAACAACGAAGAGCTGGTGAGCAGGGTGCATAGAAGCCGAAATCAAACCACTGGACTTCTGTAAGTCAGCGCTGACTAGTCTATCTAATGGATTGATTACGGCTTCTATCGTGCTCCGGCGGCTTCGACAAGCCGGCAAGGAAAGGTATAGAGGAGGTGTCGAAGGACGGTAAGAAGACCAGTCGAAGCACAGGTGACGAAAATATGGAGGGGGAACCACGAAGAGAAATAAATGTCGTCGGCCGACAGTATCTCGCGGATGACGGTGGTTGAGGCTGATGGGGGCTGAAGTCTGGATGAAGCGGGGGGGTGCGGCGGGTTCAATCTACGGCAGCCACACCAACGGCCGAATCAAGGCCTTCGACGTTGTCCTCGAGGAGACGTCGAGCAGGAACGTATGGGGATACTGCCGCTGTACACATGTAGACTACTGCTTCCCCCTGTCACGGGTCGCATTATCAAACAGCGCCATGTGACGATGTTCGACGCGGGTTCAGTGTGGAGCTAGTCCGACCACCGTGTGCAGGTTGAAGCCGCTTCAGTTCTTCAGTCTGTCTCCTTCCTGATTATTCTTCCTATCTCTCTCAGTCGCTCGCTATCGCTCATTCCCAGGCAACGCTGAGCAAGGGAGAACGCTTGCGTATCGCTTGCTGCTGCTACTAACCTGTACCGCTACGTGTCTAATGTCGGAGTATTAGGAATCTGGGCGGCGGGTGGTCGGGGTATTCCTGAACGATATACCCGCCCAGAAAGTATCTTTGTCCAAGGGTCAAAATACCAGAACAACCACCCCACCCGGGAAGTTGAAGCCCAAGTCCTTCCTCTCCTTCCGCTCCACGCCTGCGTTTTAAGCCGGACGACAAAGAAAGGCAGCCTTTCTTTGCTGGAGCGGCCGCCTACATGTAGTTCTCCCAAAAGTACTACCCACCCACCCACCCCTCCCGAGAGCCTTCGGGCTTCAGGGTTTTGGTCGCTTAGTTAGGCATCGGTGTTTGTTGTAAAAGATGCCGATCGCTTCGTGAGCTCGACAACCAGATATCCGCTTTGTTTCTTTGCCTTTGGTTTTTGCTTTCGGTAACCATAATGGTGGTCGAGTAAATTACGTTGTTTGGGGTCGAGAACCTCACTCCCCGCAAAGAGGATGATCGCACCACGTTGTGTTATATTGGCCAAGCACCCTCGAGGCAGTTACACAGCCCTCATACTTGTCTCTGGAAGTGATAGCACCAGAAAATGAGGTAAGTCATTTGCAGCTGTTATCCATATGCAAGGGAAGAAAGCAACGGATTATTAGCAGGATGCAGCGCACCCTCCATGCGACTCGCCGAATACCTCACGGCGCATCACGCTTGGTGATGAGTGAGAGTCTTGGTGACAAGGTTGCAGCGGTAGCACGTCGGGCTGGCCCGCTTTGGAAAGCTTACCGCAGGTAGGTGCTCGCTGAGAAGTAAGACAATCTGCTGTATGCGAGAGTAGAGGTGGAACACTGCTGAGTGCTGTTACGCAACTCGGTGACCCTCAGAACTAGGTGAAATACAAAATGAATGTTGTTGATATCGTTATTACAGCTGACCCCAGGGCCTGGTTATTACTACTACTGTAGAAGATGAGAGTGAGACAGAGGCGCGCGGGCCCGTTCTCGATCACTAGAAACAAAAAAAACGGTATAATATATCTACTGTTGGGGATCCCGAATACTAGTCAACAGGCTACCTTGGGGTTCTCCCGAAAATTACTGGCCGTTTGCTGACAGTCCCGTACGGGAAAGTGTCACACATATTTACTGCACGTCTGCTAGCTACTTTGGTTGGACTGCCATCATCTTTCCAAAAAGGTTTGAAGTGCAGGTTGACAGTGCGAAACACAGAGACCAGAGTGAGTGGCCTCTGCTGATTCTCTCCTGCTGTAGGCGTGTGGTATGCGCCAGGCTCCCGGTTGATTGATGTGTGTTGGTCTATGAGCTGACTGGTTGGTTCGAACGCGGTGTCCAGAACAAGCGGGGTAATTGTCAAAATCGCTCGAAGTAGACAAGACGCAAGTAGGCGCCAAGTTAAGTGGAGACAGTTGAATGGCGGACGCCAAGTTAAATCTGTCCCGGTGGCTTTTTCTGCTGCCAACGTGATTGTCGAAAAATCCTTGGGGTCTTCGTTGAGAATGCGCCTTACTTTGTCTTTCCGACTACACAAGAAGAACACGGCAGATGCATGCGTTTTTGCCACCGTCGTATTGTCACAATTGCGACGAGAACAAGCAACACATATGTTTTGCCATCGCCAAAGTCATAATAACTTGTCACGTACCCAGGCGGCAAGGAAGCCGGAGGCGAGGCGTTGGTCGACCATCCCATACACGATCAAAATCGTGCCAGCTACGGCATGGAAAACATTGAAATCAAAATGCGCGGTTCCCTCCCTTGCAAAAATGTGTTTCTCATGACGTCTTCCTACGGGCGAGAGATGAGGCGGGCAGAAGCTGACCGCCCTCTTGCACTTCAGATCAAAACATGTTGGAGAAAACAAGACGAATGTGACTTGACTACCAACCTCCAAAAAAAAAGGTTTTTCTTCTATACTTCGTCGGCGTCACACTGAACTGCCATTTCAAGTAAAAAACTGCTCGCAAAGCCGCAAAAATGATTCCCCCGCGTAGGGGACGGGACAAAATTCTATCAAAAAATAGCCAGCGAAGACCTAGCGAGAGACAAACCGGAAGTCAACCACTCCCCGTCTGGTCATCATCGCGCTAAAAGAGCTGGAAACACAAAACAAACAAAGAGCCGCATACATAGCCCTCCCCCCCCTCTACCTTACAAATAGCGACGAGATATGAAGCAGCGGCCGATGCAAGTTGTACATCGTGTGCCTCCCTGTTCTTAACCTCTGCTTCCCTTCTTCCACTGCCCTTCGGGCTTCTGGGCAATGGAAAGGAACACACGGTACGGTATCATACAAAACTACCACCACGTCTATATGGAAAAAGTGACAACAACCCAACCCCCTACACGCCAATGCTTTAACAACATGTTGGAAGGGCTCCAGCCGACAAACGACACCAAGGCCTGCGGTATCGTCACCACTGCCCCCCCCCCCCTCCCGTTGGATGCCTTTCTGCAGTCCATACGCGTGAAAATCTATCACCGTCACCCCACCCTCCACCGCCAACTGCAAAGCAGAGAGCAGCCACCACTACGAGAACGCGCCACCTTGCCCTCGATTCTTGACTTTCGAGTGTTCTATTCCAGGCGCAGCAGGTACTTCACCTACTTTTTTAGGTACAGGGCGGTGCCGGGTACAAGTAGTCGACCCCACGCCATCAGCAGAGCACGCGACAGGTGGCGCGATATACTAAGTCCATCACGTGTATCTTGAGCGACACCAAGACTTCCACGCGTACTCTATATCCAAAACATCGCCAATCGTTCCCTCTTACCCTGCAACAAAACCTCGGGTCATGGTGTGCATGTGCGAGCCACACAACTTGCCACCATTAGCGGGGTTATTACGATACGTTGCACCGTTTCTCTTCCCCTCTCCCCTGCAGGCATCCCTCCAAGCTCAAAACACACAGACGTAACCTCGACCATCATAAATTTTCCCCCCATAGCAACCATTCCCTCCTCTCCTTTTTATTTTTGTTAATTCCTGCATCATCTCATCGCCACCATCATCAGCACACATCTGACGGACATATGCGGGACACCTCGGCGCATTGTGGTTCGCGGGGCCGTGAACGGACGCACAAAGATGTTGCAC